GTCATTTAATGTTTTAGAAGTTTAATGTTTTAGAAACATGTTTTAGAAAGCCCAAAAGTAAGGTCAGTCTGATTATGAACCTAAGTCTGTTTTAACGTGGTTCCTATCTTTACAATAGTTAAAACCTCTTTTCATGTCAAAATCATCAAATATAACCCACATACAAGGTGAAATGCTGCTTCCAAAAGTCAGTAAAGTTCGCCCAAAGGATTTCATTTAGGTGTCTCTTAATGGATGGAAGCATGAAAAGAGACAAAGGTTTTAATCTGTCTCATTTTACTTCATGTTTTCCTGGTTTTTGTGAGTGTACTCAGGGTAGTTAATGTTTTTGCAATTATACCTGACAGCTGGAGGTGTACTTGACTGAAGTGACCCAAATCTTGTATAAGTAATTCTGATAATTATCCTGCACTTTGAAAATAAGGCCTGAACTGTAATTATTAATGGGAGGGATATTGCAAGAAATGTTCTGTGTTAGAATAAGGCAGATCTTTACCAGGGTGTTAATGTCCATGCTGAGTACTGTAGCTTTTAAGACACTGGTGTAGGTATGGCTGTTAATATGCATGAAGGAGATAAATGCTTGGCAGAAGACAGAGAAGGTAAGTACACTTTTTGCAGTAATCAAGCATTTGCTTTCGGCAAGTCCTTCACGTAGGACAAGCACACTTCAGGAGCGTAGTAAAAGTGTTATTTAGGTCTCTCTGTAGTTTTAAGGATGCCCCTGACTCTACAAAGACTCCAAAGGGATCAGTTGATATGCTGCATCTATAAAAACAATTTAAGTAGCTCTAAGTAAGTCTTTGCACCAATTATGTTAACGAAGTTGCAAAGGGACTGCAAATTTAGAAGTCCTCTAAAGTCCAGTGCTGGCCCAGCAATTCAGAAGATCCTTAACAAGACATTAAATCAGGCTCTTTAATCCCTCTAATTGGCTCTTTTGAGTATAGAAGAATACATGAACCCTGCTGTGTTTCTAAAAGCAGGAGAAACTCTTTACTAGACAATAATACCTTGTGAAAATACACTTCTCAGACTCCAAGTCTCCTGTACTAAATAATGATGCAGGGAAGTTTCATTTCACTGCTGCTTGCCAGTGCAGTTTTGCTGCTGAGCGGGGTCTGGCTGCAGGTGTGCTGCAAATGGGTGGGCTCTGCTCTCCGGGACTGCAGTGTCCCCTCTCTAGGCATTGCAGAGTGTCCTGTCCCTGGGCTAAGGGGTGAAACCTGGGAGTGGCCAGAGGAAGTTATCCTGCTCAAAGAATGGGGTCTCGGTACCACGGTTCCTCTCAGGAGCCATCAAGCCTCTCCTCATGGAATGAGACTGTCACAAACTGGTAACTTTAAACTTGGGTACTAAAACTTAGAAAGCCTAGAGGTTAACTTGAAGGTGTTTAAACTCAGAATAACATCTTTCTCTCACAAAAGCACAGCTCTAATGGATGTTATTTCTTTTAAAACCGTAAAGACCAGCTCCTTGGCTGTGATAAATCCACCCCCAAAATGCATGAGGCTTTTTGGCAGCTAAGGAGTTACTATTCATTTAGCATTTAATTAAAAAAAATCTGGAAGGGTCTGACTTCTAGCTACTGCTTTTACCCCAATATCACCTTCAGGTACTATATCTATTCCTTCAGAGTGTGACTTTTGTAGTGGCAGCGTATGTATACATTGGGGTGACTCAGACATACACCATCTCCCATCTCTTTTGCCTTCTATGGACAAAGTAGTAAGACAAACATAGATCTCAGTTCTAGCCTTATCTTATCTCTGATTACTCCTGCTCTAAGCTTTTGGCTGAAGTTCTGAAGAGCTCTTCTGTTTCCTTTTTTTTTTTCCCCAGAAAAATTATAGATTTTTATTATTTTTTATTAATCACAGCTGTTAGTTTTCCAGAATGGGTTTACAGGGTGTCACCCTTACAATTTGTGTAAGAACTACTCCAAGACAGTGTGATGGGACAGCTGGCTTGTGTTTCAGAGAAATAATTATGCAATGTCATTTAATTTTCCCTTAACATCCATCCTCACTACTGGAGTAAGAAAAAAGGCCACCCACTGAGAGAAGAGAGTGCAAAGCTGATAATTAAGGGACTTGAACATCTCTCCTGTGAAGAGAGACTGAGAGAACGGGGGCTGTTCAGCCTTGAAAGGAGATGGCTGAGAGGGGACCTTATTAATGTATATAAATAGCTGAGGGGTGGGGGTCAAGTGGAAGGGGACAATCTCTTCTCGGTGGTGCCCAGCAATAGAACAAGAAAGAGTGGGTTTAAGGTAGAATACAGAAGTTCCACCTCAACATGAGGAGAAACTTGTTGGCTGTGCGGGTGCTGAAGCCCTGGCCCAGGCTGCCCAGAGAGTGTGCGGAGTCTCCTTGGTACCTACTCCCTTCATCACCCTCGTAGCTCTCCGTCCAACGGAGAGCTACGAGGGTGATGAAGGAACTTGAACCAGAGAGGGTGTGGAGTCTCCTGCTCTGGAGACTTTCCAACCCGCCTGGACGCGTTCCTGTGGGGCTGCCCTGGGTGACCCTGCTCTGGCAGGGGGTGTCACTGGGGGATCTCGGGAGCTCCCTTCCAACCCCCAACATTCTGTGATTCTATGAATCCAGTAGGGGAAGGCTCTGTATTTCTGTGTCTGTCCCACACTAAGCAGAATCCCTATCATGGAATATCCAAGAAGATTTGCATTATATGGTATGTCATTTGTGGATGTTGACTTTACCTACTATTCCCTCTGGGAATAAAAATTTCCCCGTAATCCTGATTTTTTCTGCTGTTTCATCAAAGCTTTTATTTCAGTCATCTCTAGCTGGCTGAAGCAAACACACTTTTCTGCAGCTCATTTTTGGTGGTGTTTTTTTTTTTTTTTGAGGGGGAGCTGAAAGGTCTGTATATTTTAAAGCATATTTTCAGAGGCATTAATTTCTTGGTGTTAATGAGTTTTTATTATCATAACTAATAGCTAGCTCCTCTAAATTGTAGGATACAGGTTTAAATTAAATACAAGAATATTCAGGAGAGTGAAAATTGACACAGGGCTGAACTTCAGGTACAAATGTTGCAACCATATTAGCTTTTCACTTGAATTATGAACTGGCATGAGACGACACCTATGTATGTGCACATAAGCAAAAAAACACCATTTCACCATCAAGATCATTGCTTTTTCCTAACTAATACAGTCAAAACTGATCTTATACCTAATAAAAAATTTTTGGGAATGGGGGAGATTTTAAACTTCATTCTATACAGAGCTCTAAATATTTTAAACAAATTCCATTTATTTTCTTCAGGCTTGCGTTTTCTGAGATTTTTATTGTTGTCTTTGGAGGAATTTTGTTGATGTTATTTTTAGTTGTGTTACCTACTCGAGAAAAGGAGACAAAGTAATTGAGATCTATTTAATAATGTCCTTGCTATTTAAAAATACCAATATGATTTAAAAATGCCAATACAATTTTATAACATTCACAGTGGCCTATAGGCTAATACTTTTCAAGAAAAGTATCAAATACAGTGGTATCTGAGTGCCTTGTGAGACAGCTAATTATTCTTTCCCATAGCATTCATTTTTAAGGGGTATTTTCTATATTTCTGCATTTCATGAAATACTTCAGAGGAGTGAGGCATGATGCATAAAGAGGAGCCTTCACTCTCTTGAAGTATTCTTGTGGAAGAAACCCTATGTATGGCTTTTCTCCTGTGTGTAGATACAGGAGTCACATGTGGATATCCCGTTTATCCACCGTCCCACTGCCTTGGGCAATGAGTTGTAGTACAGCAGATGTTTTTTGTAGAACTCTGCACAGTAATTTCTTTAAAGTTTTAACATCAACCTGTCATTCCTGTAAATTATTCCAAACACCTGTCTCTGTCAGATACTTTAGAAATAATTTCGCACAGACTTTTGATTATCCTTCCTTTTCACGTTGACAGAGACTGTAGTTTAAAGTAATTAACACATGAAGAATTTCACAAACTGTTTAAGGAAAAATCATATGTATAAATTAATTTTAAAAAAACTTCACAAAATACTTTTGTATAAAGTGCTTTATTATGCATTTTCAACAGTTAAATGATATATTGCTGTTTCATGCAAGCTGGGATAGTGTTAAGAAAGCAAATGTCAATACATAAACATGTTAAGGAAAAAAAGTTGTGTATCTGCATAAGTTTATACAGGTTCAAATCTGGAACTGGAGAGCTGCTTCAGTTAGAATGATTTTGAATTACTACTGAAACAACTAGTCTTAATCGCCCAGTGTTCCCAAACCTTGTTCCAGTTCTGCCAAGGTTGTCGTTTTTACCCCGTGTTAAAATATACACTTTTTTTTTTCTGTCATACAATATAATGCCGTAGGAGCAGCTCTAGGCATACAGCAAAACCGTCCTATTCACCGAACAGTGGTGGTTACTACTCAATAGTAAGTCCATTTCAAACTGAGTATTGCATGATATTGCAAAAAAAAAACCCCAGCAATCAAAACCCCCAAAAAACCAACTAAAACCCGGAACTTCTAGTATGAGCTAACACGACAAATGTACATCATATGTCCTGGAGCAACAGCTCAGTTACAATAATAACAATACATAAGAAATAAACTATGGAAATATATTTTCTTGGTTTGTGCACACCAGGTGCTTCATGTCTCAAATTGTTACAAATGATAAACAGTAAAATTGAATTATTATGTTTCGGCAGCACAGTCACGTAATAAAATATTTCTTGCAATGTTCAGGAATGTAGAGAGACAAATTACAGGCTCAGAAAATTATATTTTATGTATCTTCATTGCCTTAAATATAAAGTAAGTATATTAAGTCTGAGTAATTGAAAGTATATGATACAAATTTTCATCTGTAATCTCTAGATGTTCTTCAAAAAGGACTAAAATAACTGGACTGAAGAAATATCTTTTTATGACGTATTTTATAATGAGTGACAGATGTAGCTAATCACCTGGGTCTTTTACTAATTTTCCTCGTAGAATCTATTTCTTTTAATTTGTTCTTCTACTAGTGAGCTGTTCGAACTTGACTTTCTCACCTTGAAATGATGGAACAGCTGTATATTCTGAGCTCAGTAAATCTAGCCTTGTGTTTATGTCATTCTTTGACACTTGGATTATTTTGCTTTCTTGACAGGCATTAATATAATTCAGTTTTGTATCAGAATTCCCATGTTCTTTTGAATATGGGCTACAGGAATTTTTAGTTAAGTCTACATAAGCCACAGCCTAAAACCAGGTTGTCTTTTTTAAGAGAAGATGTCTTCACAGTGTTAGATAAAATAGTATTTAAGTTTTTGTCATGTTCTGATCCCTCTGCTGTGCGTACCAACTCAGTATCAACAGGGGATGTAGTATTAATTGACTTCTTTGAAACTAATGTGCTATTAGTACAAGACTTCTGACAAGTGGCATCATTATTAAATCGAGCAGGACTATTAGAGGTAACAGCATGTTCATATTTTGGGTTCTCTTCATCCTGTGAAACAGTTACAGTATCGCTGGAATAGCTCTCATGAGATTCATACATCTGAAATATTTCTTCGCTTCCAGACCGATTTTCCAGCTTTGCGGAGGCATGATGCAATGCAGCGCAAATTGGGTGGCTTAATGCTGTCATCGGGTTAGATGTGGCTGAGGGAGTTGTTTCCTGCCTACAAATATTTAGATAAGAAAAAGTGGCATAATTGTTATTGTTATTGTTATTCAAGCTGAATTCTTTGTGATTCTTTTGTGCTGTTACATCATCAATGTTAGTGACCTGTACAGCTTCTGAACTGTCAGCTTCATTAGGTTTTTTTTCTTGCTCCTTCCCCGCACTATGAACAATCACATTATCACCTTCATTAGTATCCTTTCCACTTTCCTCCCGCTTTGGTAATCCTCCTGTTTTATTCAGCTTATCTTGCACGTTCCCAGCTTCCTCATCTATCCCCTTATTTCCTTCTTCATTTTCTTCTGCTTTGCAGATATTTGCAACTTCTTTTTCAGTCGGAGAGCTAAAGGATGAGTGTTGATTTTGTTCTGCATTTGCAGTGTTATTTTTATTTTGCTCTCTCACAGCATTTTTTTCCTGAGAATCCTTTTTATTGCCCAAATATTTATTTGTATGTAAACTGGAATCTTCTTGAGCAAAACCTTCTGGGGGCCACTTTGGCTTATTTACTTTAGCCACTTCTTCAACTGAAAATATTTTCTTAGTTGTTGCATCATCTGTTGAAGGAGGCCATGTCATCTTTAACTTACCTATTTCTGTAGATTTTTTCAAATTATTATCCAAAATATCCTGATGAGTACCTTCAGTACCTGAGTACAAGTCTTCATCAATTTCTGTAATTGGTTTAGCATCAACCAATATACTGTTAATGGGATTTGTTTCTTCAGCGTTAATATTGCCAACTGAGCTACACTGATCTTCAGAATTCCATAATTCTTTATGCTGTTTGTATCCAAAGCCTTCATCATAATTTCCTTTTGATTTGAAAAGTTGCTTAAAATGGGGTTTACAATATATTTTTCCATGGAGAGATGCATAATTTCCCAAGCTGCCAAATGGAAGAAAATTTGTTTTATACTTTTACGTATCATAAATCTACTGTGAATTTTATACTTTACTTGGTATTCAAGTACCCCTACATGACAGCATACATAAAGAAAGGAAGAGCAAAAAGAGCAAATTCAACGTATTGGCCACCCTCGGAAAAAAAAAGTATCTAAAACCTTGAATTGCAAATTCCCATAGAATTTCAAATTTGAAATGAAGACGAGTCATGCTTTGTGATTTAAGAAAGAACATAAACTTATTCAGTTAAGCACAGCATAGGCTTCAAACAGGAATGTTCTACAGCACTGTGGGCCTGTTGGGACCTTTTTCTTCTCATATTAAAGACTGAATCCTCTTATTTTTCTATAGAATAGATAGAGAAATACAGTGCCAATTTTCTTTGTGTGAATTGTAGAAATTTGTGTTTAATTATTTGATTTCTACTCCTAAATGAAGTAAAGGAAATGTATATAACTAACCTCAAAGGTGTTAAAGTCAGAACTGTTAGTCTTTGCAGACTCACAGAGCAATAAATACTACATTTCTTATAAAGGTTACAGGAGAGGTTTGCTGATGCAGAGAGCCATCATCATTCATTTTATGGGTGAGGAAAATTTGGTCTGTCTTCACGTCTTAAATTCCACCCAAGTGTCTGTGTCTGCTGCTTCCAGTTCACAAGCTCTCCTGAAGGTCTGGAACAGTCAGGAGGAGGTAATATGCAGAAGAATTTGGAAGGAACTGAAATGAAGCTGTGCTTTAGAGAATTTAAAGGACTTGTTCCGCGTCACAGTACAGATGTCAGAAGCAGAAAAGAAAAGGGGAACCCAGGGTACCTGCCCTGCCAACCCAACATCCCACAGGCTGAATATCCCAGCTGAAAATAATTTCAGAGGCCGTATTTATATTCAGATGCAGAGTTCTGTGAGTAAACATATGGTTGTTTCTTACCTTAATTGACTGCCACAGTGGTGGCATCGGAAACATGATTTATGAAAGTGATTCTTGTCAGCAACTAGGCATTCCATTGGGTAAACTCTCTGTTGACAGAGTCTGCATTTTTCATTTTCCTGAATCTGCAGCTTCTAGAACCACATATCAAAACGTTACAAGTTAGTTTAAGCCATATATTGTGATTTATTTTTAACTGTATCAGTCCATACGTTTTCTTAAAACCACAGTTTTATTTATCCATTAACTGGCATCTCAGCAGTCAATTGTAGGGCTTCATTTTTGTTCAACTAACAGTAATTCTTCAAAAGTGGAAAACTACTCACCTTTCCCTTTCCAGCAATTCCTACATTTGAAAGGATTACTCACTTCACTACGCCAGGTACAATATTCCCCATTTATTTGTAATAAGTGTTTATTTTGTGAAATAAGATAGGATAATATACAATTTACTGCCATCAGTAGAATTGAATATAATTTACACACATCTCTCCATGTGATTCAGAGATCAATAAATGGGGTAGATATTTGAAATCCTGATGAGTAAGTTTTGCTTAGTCATGCCGAAAGCAGATCAGGGAGTTCAACATCCATTGCACCCCACAGACTGTACACTTATATGGTCCAAGTATGGTATGGACATAATTACTTGTGATTTTTACAAATTTCATTTTCAGATACATTTTTCATTTAATTTTTAAGAATGAATTAGTTACAATTATATTATCGCATCCTTTATTTTATTAATTTTAAAGTAAACTAATTCTCTGTAAAGTACAAAGCACTAATAGAAGGGGGTTTTCGTACCAATAAGGAGCAGAAGGAAATAATGGACAGTCTGTTGGGATTGGAAAAATGCATGCTGCTCTTCTGTCTTGATTTCTGAATTGCTGTGAAGATGGAACTAGCAGACAAATACAAATAATTGTCCAAATAATGGTCCAAATAATGGACCAAATAATTGCTTGTATAAATGTATCTCCATTGACCGTAGTAATGCCCCTTGATATCAGCAGAGTATTTGGCCCCTTTCAGCATTCTCTCTGATTTTGGTTTGCCTCCTATCACTGATTTTATAGCAATTCACAAATCAAGACAGAAAGTGAAGAAGGTGGTTTAGTGTTTCCCACTCTCTAAATCTATTTTAACTGGCAACAAATTAAATTAGTTTTCCCCAAGTCAAGTCTATTTTGCCTGTAAAGGTAACTGGTAAGTGATCTCTCTGTCCGTGTTTTGGCCCGTGAGATTTTTCATTCTGTTTTCTGTCAGTGTCTTGTTGGGGAGGGGGAATGAGAGTGGCTGGTGTGGGGCTGGCAGGTCAACCCTCCACTTGTGAGCAGTCCTGCAAAATCAGTGGGGAAAGGGCTAGTCTACTATTTGAGATCACCAATATCTACCAGGTAGAAGAGATCCAAAATGGAATCCAGAGGCTTGACCATGTAAAGAATTCAGTATTCCACTAGTACTAGATATTTCTTCTGACTTTTAACGTGCTTAAGTATACCAAGTCTGCCTAGGATGCAGTTAGTTTTCTTCATGGCAGCTCATATGATGCTGTGTTTTGGATTTGTGGCTAAAGTGTTGAGAGCATACCAATGGTTTCACTGTTGCTGAACTGCACTTGTGGTGTCAAGGCCTTTTCTTCCTCCAACGCTGATCCCCTCACTGGCCCAGCCAGCTCGCTTGGGGATGCGCAAGAAGTTGAGAGAGGACACAACCAAGACAACTGATCATAGTTCCACACCATATGACATTGTGCTCAGTAATTAAAGCTGAGGGAAAGGGGGAAGAAGAGGGGACATTCAGAGCCGTGGCATTTGTCTTCCCAAGTAACTGTTGTGCATGTTGGCGCCTTGCTTTCCTGGAAGTGGCTAAACATCTGACTGCTTCACGGGGAGCAGTGATTCAATTCGTTGTTTTACTTTGCTTGCGCCTCAGCTTTGCTTCATCTATTAAACTATCTATCTGTCTACCTCCTCTTACTTTTTGTTCTTCTGGTTCTTTCTCCCATCCCACTGCGGGGGAGTGAGCAAGCAACAGGATGTGGACTTAACTGCCAGCTAGGGCCAACCCACCACATGAAGTATTTTGTTGAACTGCCACCAGGCAGTGCCTCATATTCTTATATTCTGCTCCTAGCATGAACAAAGGTAGCACTGTTATCAGTGCACAGAGTTGGGAAACCAAAGCTAAGCTTTCTGGTTAGGGTATGTGCAGGTAAAGGAGCATTTAGCTTTATTCTGACATTTCATTGCTCTGCAAACATCAGCGTTCTGTTAAAGTATTTCAAATGGCTAGAGCTATGGTAGCATCTGGTTTTCCTGCAGGATCCCATCGGTATTCAGCACCCAAAATACATGCATGGAAAGAGAACATTGATGTCCATCATGAAATAGCACATTTAATATCTTCTATGCTTCAAATGCATAACTTTACAGTCTAAATACTAATTTAATTATATTTTTAAGTAACAGATGCACCAAGAGAAAAAAGGTATGTTTTATTTTCCATTCTGTTCTGATTTGGGGGCACCAGGATAAAAGTTTTGTGGAGCTGCCTGGACCACATGGTAATCAAAGTGGGGAATGGGGGGCAGCTGTGCCTATGGGGAGGAGGGGATGGGCCAGGTGACCCAAGTGAACTAATCACCGCATTCCTTCCCATGGTGCTCAGCGTGAAACGGTCCCAAAGAAGAATTTTTACATTGTGGAGGAATAATGTTTGTTGGAAGAGGTTGTTAACCTCTCTGCATGGGAGTGGCACAGTTCCTTCTCTAGTGGTTCCAGTTTTTTTTGTTTTGTGTTTCTTTAGTGCTTTTTTTTGGGTTGGTTGTTGATTTTTTTAGGGGGAGGCTGTCAGTGGGACTCCGTGCTTGGGCGCTCCTGTCTGCTGCTGAGTCCAGCCTGGGACTTCTCTGCTTGGGACCAAGCTGTTATCCAGAGGGCACAGGTTCTGTACTAACATAGTCCTTTGTATCTTTGAATATACTTGTATACTTGTATAGTATCTGTATGTAGTATGACATCCTCATTTTTACTGTTAGTGTTATTTTTCTTTTTCACTAACCTGGTTCAAGTTTCTGTCAAGAGCATCTGTCAAAGTTTAGTGGCTGGTCTAGCCTTAAACTTTGACATATGTTTCCTTCATATTCACATATTTCATATGTGTAAAAAGTTTGCTTCAATATGAAACAAATAACAAGCTTAGCTTTTTGAGGGACACTGAGTGACTCCGCTCCATGATTTGAAGCATGGACTCTGACATCAGCTAAATGAGCTTGCTGCCCTAATTCAGACTAGGGCTGTATCAACTGCTAAAATCACCCAGCAGGAAATAGCCAAAAAAAAAAAAAAATCAACTCTTTCAGTAATTTTATCCAAGCAGGAATCCCACTGAAATATAGTTTGCTTGTCTGAAGTCACATCTTGTGCTTTGATAAGCTAAAAACAGATGTGTGCAAAACATGATCATTATTTTATCTCTACAGCTATTTTATACAGGCAACACTTTACCCTAGTTAAGAGGACATTACATTAATTTTAATTATCAGAATTAAGGTGCATTCTGTGCACATTTTCTAGCATGTTAATATATCTCAAATATAATAGTAATGCTATTTTAATTGTAATATCTATTTTTAGTGTATTTTTATTTTGTTCTATATAATTCTTCAGGCTAGCTCTCCTAGTGTTAATCCTTGTAATAGTGGAAGAGAGAGTTGCTAGAGGCTTTCACAACAGTTCCTGTGTCTTCAGCTTCTAAGCCTTCTGGTCTTCATGGAGATCTGTGAATTTCTACGTCATATTTTTTGTACTACTTGTATTATCATTGCCATCAAATTCGGAATCAGAAATTGTGCTTTGCTGGTGTGTTACAGGGGCTGCTGCACCTGTGTAGGACCTTGATCTTGCTTATTTGATTTTTGTGACACTGTTTCAGCTGGACTCAATTCCTCTGAAACCTCTGTGTGCCAAAGCTGTGTTTCAACAAACTCTTTTGCCTTGCACACAGCAGTGCTCTCTTTTTCCTCCACTGAGATTCCGTGCCCTACTTTAATTTCCACCAGATGTTTGCTGGTCGCAAGTTAAGGCTGCATTTCAACTGTCTAGTGTGCTATTCTGACATGCCTCTTTTCAGTTTCTTCTCTATAGACAGCTTTACTCTCTAGACTTCTACCAAAGTTGTCTCAGGTAACAGACAATGGCTGCAATTCAAAATATTTTATGCTTTTCTTCACACTTTCTTAAACTCTTTCAGCTCAGACCTCAGCTGCAACAAGTTGAGAACATCAGCTGGGCTGAGCAGCCCAGGTTCTGCCCTTCCAGCATGTGCCTCAGAGTCTTTACAGCAGCACTAGAAACTTTGCAGACCTGAGTTTCGTCTAGTGGTTGTTCCTCATCATGATAATTTTTATTCGTAGAGTCCAGTGGCTGCATTTCAAACATACCCATGATGGCGCAAACAGATCCTCTAACTAAGAGCCTTGTCCATAGGTCCTCAAGGCTGTAACATGTGCCTGCAGCACATCGAGAGGCTGGGTCTGAAACCTGCAGGCTGTGTAGTTAATGTTTCCACTTGCAATGGTTTCCTGGTCTGCAATGCCATCTGGCTTTGTCTAGGTCTGGAGGGTCATTTTTAATTGGAATGAAAGGTGGGTCTCAAAAGCCCTATCTTATAGAGGGGACCTCTCCTCTCTTGATTTCACACCACTCTAAACGTTTGTCTCGTCTTGTGAACCTCACTTTGTGAGTGATGAAGGCAAAGCCATATCTAGCCTGCAGCACACCTGACTAATATGCCATATTTCAGATTAACCAGATAAAATACTGGAAGTCTTGTTCAGGTAACGCTTCTCTTAAGCATTTTCTTAATTGTGGGTAAAAACAATTGTATAAGCATCTAAGTGTGAAGAAGTTGGTTTTCTTTGGATGAAGATCTGCGGGGACAGTGGGCTTTGATGGCAAGCTGAATGGTTCAGTGGACTGGGAAGTTGCTGTCATTTCCAATGCAGGTTTTGCATAAGTAGAAGATGACCTTTCTCTGCATCCATATTCATGGGATCTGGAGCAAATTATTGCAGAAGTAGCAGTTTCGTCTTTTTTTTTCCTTGGTATAGAAGTTTCCTGTAGTCTGTTTGCTGAAGTAGTAGCAGTAGGAGATGAATTAACTGTTGAAGGCAATGCAATTTCCTGAAATGTATTTTCTGTCTTTAGGGAACAAAAGTGTTTGCTTGTTTTAAAATTACACTATCATATAAAACAATTTTTCTATTCTTCACAAAAGCTAGTCCTGCAAGAGTCCAAGCAATAGGATTATAAGAAGATCTGGAAAGACGCAATCCGTCAGGTATTGCTCAGAATGTATAAAACCAATCTTTTGAACTAAGAACTGTGCTATTTGCAGCAGAGAAGATACGTGAAAAGAAATGTGGAATTCATACAAAATGTAAAATGATTGAGCAGTCTTGGAGTTTTTACTGCAACAAATGCAGACTTTACATTATAAGCATAATGTAAACTTATGTTGTGGTTATTTTCATTTCTTCTGAAGTGACATCTTTGATGCTTCTGAGAATCTATGGTGACAGAAATATGTATTTGCCGATTCAAAACAAGGAAAGAGGAGACTATATTCGGCAGAGATATGCAGAAGTTTTCATAAAGGTCTATTTTAATTGTTTGTCACATGCTTTAAGTACTTGTTGAGCCCTTTAATGTACTTCATATGTTATGTCACTTAATTCCTAAAGTCTATATATTTTTATCACTCTCATAGGTTACTTTTTAATCACAATTAGTCAAAATAGGTCAGACTGCATGATGGACCAATGTCTTAACTTCACCACTTCTAATCTGCATAAAGATCCCTCTTAGTAAAAGCACAGACCTTTACTTCTTTTGCAGGTGTTGCAGTCTCTCTTTCAGCCTTTTCCTGAGCTGTCCTTTCAATATGCTGTTTTAAAATCTGTGTTACAATCTTTGGGAACTCTTCATTTCGAGCTGCATTGATTACTGCAATGAGAAGAAAAATTTAAAAAGAGAGTTTTTCCTCCTCCTTACATTTTATGAAATTGGCTTTATCAGTGAATTATAAAATATTATTACATTACAAAAATTGCACATAGCCTTGCTCAAGTCTAGAGAGTCACTTTATCATGAACAGAAATCCGTAGAGAGAATGACAGAAGAGTTGCCAAGGGACACGTTATCACCTACTGTTTTGCTATACCCAAGTGGTGTGGCAGGGCTGAAGGTTGACTGGGGTCTGTGGGAGAGCTTAATGCGTGAATTCCAATACCAGGACTAAACTGCAGCAGTATCTTGACACTGAGGTTGTGTTCTGCAGGGCTATTCAGATATAAATTGAACTTTTCTCATCCACAGTTCTGTGTATAGACGGGCTAGTGTTATTCTGCATGTTCAAACAATTCTTCAAGTCCCCAGTTCTTTGAAGCAGTTAAGCGCGTATTTAAAGCCACCTACTTATGCAAAAGCCACCTCTCTGTACCGATTTCTAAACTCTTTTCCTAAGTCCCATTGGAGTCAATGAATGTACTTTGCTGAGAATTCAGAACAACGTGCATTTTCATGTTTGTATGCTAAAAGCCTATGTTTGTGTGAGTAAAGACACTTACCGCAGCTCATTTGTGAGCCTTTATTCTCATGCTACTTCTTACCTGTTTCACCAGCGTTCTGGGTGAGTGTAGAAGCCATTTTTATCTCATGAGTAACTTGCTCGTGATGAGAAACCTGTGCACAAAACCTTGACTTTACTGTAGGATTTAGTGCAATAGGTAAGGATTTTCATACATCTGCAACCATATTTAAAATATTACATCAAGGAAAAATATAAATAGAAACATAATTATTTATTATGTTAAAACAATAATAAATTAAAAACACTTAATGAAACATCTTTAGGCAATACATAATATATTTTTAATGAGGGAGGCTATCGGCAGAACATCCAGATCTTGCTGTACCAAATAGTAAAGAAAGAAGCAGCAAAGTAGATATCTATCAGCATCAGTATAATTGTCTGATGACATGATTATTAATTGATACAGTTACCTCTTGTGTTTGAGAGGCTTCCATTTGACTGTCTTTGGAGGCGATTTGATTGCACTCGGCTTCCCTGGTACTGCTTGATACTGTATGCTTGCTGCTACTTGACATATCCTAAAGACAAATAAAAATAATTTAACATTAGCAGCTAATGGTAAATTGGACTTTTAAAAATTTTTTTTGCCTGTGAAGGACTTTTACGGATTTGAATATAAGTGGTGTAACTAGAACAGTCATTTTGTAGCAGAGTGCCATTGTTATTATGATTGATGCTCGTTGCCATAAAAATCAAAACAGGTGTTTTATGACACAGATGGTGTCAAATCTCTGTTCCTGCAGCCAGGCTTTGACCAGCAGATATGGGAAGCTGCATGACTATGTTCAATGTATCATTAGACAGAAGGGGACAAAGGTGACTGGGAACACTGATTCTGGCTTGATGTGCTGTGCTGTCGAGTTGTTACCTATCAGCAGGCATGAGGCCTATGCAACTTTGTAAAATTCAACTCTTTAACAAAGCTATGCTGACTCCCTGCATGTGCTTTATATCGCTCTGCTGATGCAAACCTCATACTGAATTGCAGTTGTGAAAAAGGGACCTGTAGGCTCATCAGCATGTGCTATTAAATGTACAAGCTAGTGTTGTATCTGCATGTCAGACAACTGCAGTGTGATAAACAGAGCGTATCGTTTAAAGCACTGTCCGAGATGTCCGTGGGAAGGAATTTCTGAGGTTATATTTAATTTGACTCCAGACTCTGGTAGTGATTTGTTTTCTTACTTAAAGCCTGTCACAGGACTTGTGCTACATCACATTACCTGTGCTCATGGAATACTTTGAGATTTAGTGATGACAAAACATAAATCCTAAGGATTTATATTATTAAGATAGCAGTCCTCTGCTTCCTCTCTCTTGCCACACAGAGACGGCTAACAATTTCACTCAGTGAAATTAGATTTTCTCCTTCCTTTGTGAGAGGGAAGCCTGCCTATTAGTTTCTGCTGATAATAAGCTTTCAATGAAAGAAGTTCCTGGCCCCTCTAGCAACAGCTTCCCAAATGTTCACAGGAATGGAGGCAGCACTGTGGTTGTGAGATTGCTGCTATATATCTGGCGCAACAGAGAGCCGCGACCTTCCTGCATCTCACATTCTGGCACCTCCTTGAAATCCAGTTAGTTGTAGGGCAAGGAACTATTTCTATTAGTCATCCCATAGCAAAAGATATATTTAGGGGATTTATTCCACCTTCAAACTAAGGAATGCTGACACTGCTTGTATCTCCACTAACGTTTCTGGTATGGGGGAGCATCCACTGCCTGGCCCATAATTTCTGCCATGCACTGAGTAGCAAGAGCTCTGAGGTTCTGTTGCAGAGAAACGATGCATCCCCTTTGCGGGCTTTAGGAATTCCATTCCATTCCACCTCTATGCTGCAAAATCATCTGTTTCAACTATAAGATGCATTAAAATCTTACAAACAAAAGCAGAATAAGCTTTCTGATTAGTGACACGATAAATGAATTACTACGTCACCAGTATCAAAGTTTGAACTCTCACAGTGAGGTGAGGCTTGAGGAGGGCACGATTAGCACTTTCACGTTCTGTATGTGTAACAGCTGTGAGGGAGCCCTCAAGCTAACCCCATACCAAGTTGAAAAGTCAGTTCAGTGAAAATGAAGGGCAAATTTTTCCATCTATTCACTGTTTAATGACTGTGTAGGTCCATGTATAATGTCTTTTCATTTTATATGGTTATACTTTTCAGTTTATTTATGCATATGTATGCTTTTTCATTTAAGATACGCTTTTCTGTTCTAATGTGCATGGTTTAGACATGTAAGTCAAGCTCTTGTTACTGAAAAAGCTCGTTCATGAGACACAATATGTTCATGGTAGTCATTATGTGTCCTTTGAACAGTGTGGGATATTAAAAAGGAATATAATTAGGCTTAATGTAGTCAGGAAGCAAATCTAATTTGAATGTCACTACTGCTTTATTGCTGTAACTTTGGTACTGCTTATGAAGTAGTTGCCATATTGCAAAAGATTATAATTGTTTAATGGGACAGCTATGGCTGTCTGAAATGCAGCCTAAACATTATGGGCCAGATTTTGACGATATAATTACATGGCCTTGCTCTGGGCATGCAGAGAGGAAGGGGGACTTGGAGGATCTGATAATTTTGTATGTCTATGAAGATGGCTAATTGGAATTCCAGTGACAGAGGGTAGAATGTTGCTTGTTTATTATCCTGAACAAGTGGAAAGCAGGAAGACGTGTAGTTTCATTTCTCTTCTGTAATGGCCAAGTGCTGGATATAAGATAGGATATCCTGTAGGTAGGATTAATTTAGTCTACTCCATAAGAGTTCGTGGCATATTTTTTGGACCCCATAGATTTTGGAGAACATTCTGTAGAATTATTTCATGGTCTGTATGGGATAAAGTTGCTCTTCCCATACTGAGCAGTATAAGTCTTCCAATGCAGGACAGTGGCTGAAGATTGTGATCGAGATTTAATACTAGTTAAGAGTTATGCTTGTGGGAACTTGATCCCTTTATTTGTTTCAGTAGAATACACCCTTCCTGCCTTGCTCTGTGTTATAAAATCAAGCAAGGTTATTCAGTCAACGAGATCCCGTGTCGCAGTATGAGGAGGAAGCGGCTCCCCTCCAGCTGGGCATGGGAGGAGGACAGACAGAGAACTCAAAGTCATTTTTGGTGGCAGGAGTGAAAAGACAAATATTATGGTTACTTTTCTTGTGGCCTGAGAATCACCTTTCAATTACTCTTTGTTTATCCTCTGACATACGTGAGTGATCTTCAGAAAACACTGTCAGCTGGATGATTGTTGGCATGCTGCTAGCTCAGGAATGGCTTCTTCTGGTCATTTTATTTTTATATCAGAGTTCCATCACCCTCCATTCTCTTTTTTTAATTTTTTTTGTTTCAGATCTCCCTTTATGGGGGCTGCTGGTCTTCTCATATCTGTATGGTACTTAATAGAGAGGGCTGTAGTGTCCTTTTGTGTCTCTTGATAATAAGGCATTCTAACCTAAGCCAATACTGTTTAAAACATGAAGATGTTAATCTGAGAATAAGTCTGTATGCGTTTTGTTAGAGAGTGCTTTTTTATGTCGGCATTCACATGCTGTTACTTAAGAGAACTGTAATTGCTGCATGCATTTTATATGTTAGTGGCCCATACATCAATTTTAGTGCCTTTGCGCTAGATAGAATTCTTACTGCAAAATGTGCCAAGATTTGAATTTTCAGCAACTGTTCTATGCGTTTCAGACCAAGGTTTGCTTTTTTGTGTTGACATTTTTGCAGTTTCCTCTTGTTCTGACAACAGACAAAACATAAATTCCCTTTCAAAAATAAAATTGCTTTGAGGCTCAGAATATCTATTCAATGTTATGTGCATAGGTACATAAACCATATACAGTTCTATATATGTGTATATATATGTATATTGTTCAGGGGATCAAATGTCCCCAAAGCATGTCCAAGCACAACTGAGCCATCTACTTGCATTTGAGGCATGTTGCTTTTAGTTGAAATGTACCTTATAGTCATCGCATAAGCTCTGTGGGAAGCTGGCTAATATAATACCTTTTATATATTGGCAGATTTAGAACTTGCTGTTCTAAATGATCAATATGTACAAACTTGCAGTTCCATTTAGGCAGCAAAGGAAGCAAATTGTGAGTCTAAAGCTGCAGTTACAAAATTAGTAACAACAAAATGATTGACTGATTATTTTCTCAGTGTGGATCTTACTTTCTTCCTCAAGGCTATGCTTTTATACCTGTTTATGTTCTTAGCATGGTATAAACTGTGTGTCAGTACTGTGAGAGTCTTGCAGAAATTTCATATAAGAACTTTGTTTGTTAGCCCTTAATATCTCTGATTTGTCAACCTTGCTTAGTTATATATATAAACTTTTGGGTACTGTATGGAAAATTTTATTAAAAAGTAAGGTTTTCAGCATTCACTAACACTATCCCATGGTTTAATCTTATCCTCTGCAGTCACTAGCAAAATTAGCGATCTGAGAACATTTGTCTGGAATGACTCTCAGGAAGGAGGTGTAGCTAGAGCTGTGTCATTCCTGACACATGATACCGTATGGTTGGGTGAATATTCCAATATATTCCACTGATCCTCCCTGTCTAGCAGGGTCAGCTCAATTGCCAGACGTGGCTTGTGGCTGACACGGGGCGGCGGGACTCGGAGCAGGAAGCTA